TGTACGCCTCTAATTCGAGAAAGATAAACAAATCAGAGCCTATTTTAAAAGCTAGTCGCATTAATAACATAGCCTTTCTCTCCTTACTCACCCCAAGTTCACCCGGTAGCCACACGGCTTCTGGCCGCGATCGAGCCACACGCCGGCAGGTATAGAGTAAGATACAACAACTCTATCTACTGAGTCTACCAGACTAAAATCGGTTTAACTGTCTTGCCAGAACGCATGTCGGCAATGGCTCGGTTGCACTCAGTGTACGGATACATCCGAGCCATCTTGTCTACAGGTAACCGCCCATTTCGGTACTCTTCCACGAGTCGAGGTATGATCTGCGGCAACCTTATCAGCCTTACATTGTTATAGATAGATGTGTTACTCACCTTGTCAGGCACACTGTCGCCTTCTATGCAGCCAAGATACGACTGACCCGACATAATCATCTGGTTGATGTCTATCTTGAGCTCTGGATTCGCATACGCCATCCCGACGCTCAAGGCCTTCCCCATCAACCCGAGCGACTGTACCATGGCCTCAATCACCGAGGATACCCCGGTAGTATCGATCGCAAACCGGACCCCGCGATCAACCGGTGCGATGTCCTTGACGTCCTGTGCGAGGGTGGTGCCTGAGTTGAGCAGGACATGAGTAGCACCGAGCTCTTTCGCGAGCGCCAACCGTGACTCTACCAGGTCAATCGCTATGATAATACTCGCCCCTACTGCTTTGGCAGCCATGATCGCAGACAATCCCACCGCTCCAGCGCCGAAGACGGCAAGACTGGATCCAGCCGTGACCCCTAAGCTGTTCATAACGGACCCGAAGCCAGTCTGCACGCCACATCCTAAAGGAGCCAGGTATTGCAGCTCCTCTCGCGGCAGTGCCAGGCCACAGGATGCTGTAATGTTTATGATGCTCCGTGACGAGACGAGGGCGTATCTGGCGAAGGACGACTGGCCGAAGAATTTTCCCCACACGGGGCTGGCGTCCGGTGTCGCCATGTGCAATCGTGGCTTTCCGTCGTCGCTCAGATCTGAGGGCGCGTTCCTCGAAGTGAAATCATGGCAGTATGCAGGATGGTCGGTCTTGCAGCTATTGCAATCCCCGCATGAATCGAAGGTGAGTATCACCTGGTCGCCGACCGAATATGAACCGAGTAATCCTGTGCCGACAGCGGCTACCGTTCCGGCGGCTGTTGTGATAGCGGGCAAGCATCGTTAGTTATCGATCCGCGGGGGAGGTGCAAGAGAATGGGGTGACATGGCGCTATCTCACCTTCGTGTCCAAGAATGGTAGGTGTAGGGAAAGGAAGATTCCCAGACATGCATAGAAGGTCTGAATGACAGATTCCGGTAGCTGCTATCTCCACAAGCACCTCGTCCGGAGCTGGACCCTTAGCGACGACACGCTCCACGCGCAAGTCTTCCCCGAAATTCCGCATAACAAGGGCGTCGGTAACGGTCTCCATCATTAGGGTTGTAGTTGTCTCAGCTAGTGACACTTTCGACTCCTGGTACATCAGAACCTAGGGATGGACGGTGACATCAGGCTTCTTATAACGTCAGATGGGCTTTATCCCTTGCTTCCATTCATCCTCTTTAAGCGTGATGCCGATCTTTGTGTCCATGACGAGAGATATGCAGGCAACCGAGGTCATTCGACATGTTAGTACTTGAGTGTGATGGAGTGTGCGACAGTGCGCTGTATTTTTCAGTCGCGGGTAAGTATTCCTATTGACGCAAAGCATAACCTATTCAAAGATGTAATATCCCAGAATGTTTGATTGTGATTCGGCGTGTTAGTGCCACGACATGACAGGTACGGTGGCATACCGATATCACAAGTGGATCATTCCATTAGGAAATTGCCTATCGCATTATGAACCAGATCGGAATTATGCATGTTATCCGGACCATGATAGGATCCACTCGTGATCGCTGTCTACTCTATCTTTTATAACTACACAAGGCCTTTTTAAGGCAAAAAAAAGAGGGTTCGGAATCCCGAATATTTTCAGTATTATTATATAAGTATGTGCTCAACCAAAACTATGGACAATGCTCAATGCAAAAGGGCGCCGGAACAAATCTTTATACAAGCGCGCCCCATGAATCACAATGCTATTGAAACAAAATTTACTGCTGCTGGGTGTAGAGGCAGCCGTTGGGGTTGGTGGTGCCCTCAACGCGAGCAGCAATGCTGATGCAGTTGGAGTTGCCGGCGGGGTTGGAGACGCCAGCGTCGGCGTAGATGCCGAAGGAGCCCTCGAGGCCGGGGCAAGCGATGAGGTCCTTGCCGTTGAACTGGAGGTGGCTGTCCTTGACGGCCCAGCCCTTGCGGGAAGCGTTCTTGGGGGTGGGCTGAGCGCCGGTGGTGTAGCCGATGATACCCTGGCCTATTGTTGATTGTTAGTTTATTTTCTCTCGATGAGGAAAGGAAATATAGGAAGTAAACATACCCATGCCGGAGGCGTCGACGAAGATAGTCTGGGGAGTAGCGGACTTGTCGTAGAGGTTCAGTTCACCGTCCTGGATGTAGAAGGTGGCGAACTGCTCCTCGGGGCGGGCACAGCTGGCACCCTGCTCGCGGTTACCGCCGGCGAAGAGGCCGTTCTGGGCAGCCTTGAAGCCAGCGTTGTGGACGGCGCTGGTGGAGTGGATGGCGATGACACCGAAGTACTGAGGAGCAGCATCGGCGGCGGGGGCTGCGGCGGCAGTGGCAGCGACGGAGGCGGCGAGGGCAAGGTTCTTAAGCTGCATTTTGACAGATAGAAGATAAAGCGAAAATTTGCTTAGAGAAGATAGAGAGAGATAGAGTGTTTGAGATGATTTGATGGATTGTGAGTGGAATGATAATCCAGATTGGAGGGTATCTTCGACAGCTTTTATATCTTTTTCAACAACCAACTTGATTCCTTGTCCAAGACATTTGATGTCAACTATTAGCCACTAAGTCAATGGAATCCCCAAGGAAGAGAAGGGAAGACTCCACGGCATGTTGTCATGATGCTCTCAAGCTATAATTAGAGTCCCACTCCATCGTCCCTTGATTTAGTTTCATTTCCGCCCACTTTAGGACCCGCGATTGGAATTAATTCTATCGATCGCCACAGTTGTTAGCCCTCGGTCCCTAGCGGGCGACCAATGAGACGCCGGGAACTTTTAATTATAGCAGAGACACTGTTTCGCAAAAACGAGGCCGTGGAGATGCTGATTAACAGGCGATGCTCCACATTACAGACATTGTCTCATTTATGGGATTCTGATTGGCTATTGTCGTGCGCTGATCCGGAGTATTTTCCTAATCATGGTTGACGACGGGGTAGCTGATCGATGAAGAGTCCAGTGAGATCCGATGAAGGCTTTACAGGTTGATACTACGCTGCTGGGATGAAGTGTACTCTGTTAATATCGTTCGATACTTTCCAAAAAGCATCTGATGTTTACAACCATAGTACCTAAAGGAGGGGGGAAGGAGAACAGGCTCTTGCACAAAATCAAGACTTAAAAAACAGTCAATAGTGCGGGCTGTAATCAACAGCCTGCGCAGATCAACGGTCCTCTAGCTACATCTATGCTTTCGAAAGAATCATATTCCGAGTACAGGTCTCACTCGCGGAACACCCACTCGCCACGATCGTCGTCCCCCGTGGGAGATTGGATGACCGTGGCGCAATTCCGGATTCAGTTCCAAACAGTGACGCAGGGCGTCTGGCGGACATATTCCGTCGATACTATTATCTATTATTGTTTTCTTTTGCTGTTGTAAATAGTATCGGGACAACTTTGTCGATCCCACTGCTTCCTACGGTATCTGCGAATTCTGGTCTCCGAAGAAACTCCTCGGTCGGGGAGTGGTTCCGACTGGTAAAACATAAAATATTCACCACTTCGGTACATCATTGTGGCTGTGCGTCGTTGATTTTGTCTTTTCCGATCACCAGTGTTGCTGGATGTTCAGGTCTCTTCAGGGTTGTTTGAACTTTGAGCCCTACCTACTCGGCCCTCGATGTGGTCGGTAAATGGTAAATCAAAATTAACCGAAAGTCTCCTTTCTCTCGGAGAATAAACGATGAAGATCCCAGAATTCAATTCCCTTTCCAAACAGCAGGTATTCACTTCACCGGGATATCTTCATCTGCTATTGATCTCCACTCTGGCACGAGCGTTATTATTGAACTTCTATGACCAAAATGGAACTTTCTAGCGTCTTTCCTCGTTCTGCCCTAGTGAGCCCGTCGCTCCTCTAAGACAAGAATAGGTAGGAAAGGGAGGAACAAAGACACAATCCAACGAGACACATGTCGACGGCAATAACTACGGTGAAGGATGGAATGGCTTCTCCCCTGTCTCACTATTGGGGTCCCGTTAGTGGGCTTGCCGACGGCCCGTAGTGTCTCGCGGGTAAATGGCATGTCTCGCCGTTGGAGACTGTTGATGGCGGAGGTACTTCTTCCATCTTTCTAGACTTTCTCAAGGATCGAATCCTGTCGTTGAGAGGTACGGTTGAAAGCATGGACATGAGCGGTCTGTTCGCTGTGGAGATTAACAAAAAGATAATGGTTAATAACTTCATAGTGTCACTCAATTGTGAAGACAACATTCTATTTTCTATTTCTATTATGTAACCTGAATCAGTCCGGTCGGGGCACTAAGACCCTCGCGACAACATGTTAAAAATGTCTTGAACTAAATAGTAGTGTGATCAATAATCGAAAACGAGAGACAGAATAAAAGAGAGAGAAGCGGGGAATCCAACCTAATGGCGGAAGCACCTCGGGTAATTGACAAACTTGTAGGCTGCATTCATCAATGATTAGGGTTATAGGGAGAGATTGAGATATATGGAAAATATCATTTTGACGGGTCTGAAGAATACAGAGAGATTTTGGGGAGGGGCAAGGGAGGGGAAAAGAAAGAAAAAAAACGCAACTGTAGGTAGTAAAAAACAAAGAGGCATGAAGAAAGAATAAAAGGGAGTAGGGGAAAAAAGAGAAAAAAGAATGGACTTGCGGGGAATTGAACCCCGGACTTCTCGCATGCGAAGCGAGCACTCTACCCCTGAGTTACAAGCCCAGTTGTTGTTATAAATTGCTTAAACTTAGAACTTATATAGCTAGATATTATAACATACAGTATACAATGACAATATCTAGTTCTCTGTTGGAATAAATCATCCCATCAACTCTAATGCGAGGCGATCTGATCCGGGAGGACTGAACAAGTAATCCGTTATGGAATTATGAGTTGTACAGGCTTTTAGTGGCTGAACTATTCTTTCTGTGAAAGACTAAAATCGACTGGTAACGCGTTCAGCAAACCTACAAAGCCTTCCAATGGAAGCTAATCAGGTACCACTGACCGATTTCTTGGTCGAATCAGTCTCCGCCAGTAAAGTTATTATGTTTAGTTGTATGCACTCATACATGTTTACAAAAACTATAGCTAGTGGTGCAATCAATTAAATATGAAATAATTAATATTGCTAATGATACAGTCCTCCCAGCATCCCGGGTGATCTCCCACCCGTCCAGATATATACATTTGTATATATGTATAATATATACAACCGTACATCAAAAAACACACCACCTTCCCCTCCAACTGGAACCAACCAGATTAAACCAGCACATCAACAAAACCCCTGATGGCTTTCCAGCCACACGCGCGATAACCGCACCGTGATGTAATAAAGTTTACGTCTCACACGGTTCGACTGCAACGCCTGTTCCAGCAAGTTGCAGCTCCCGTCTGCAACAGATCCCCGGCTATACTGCGTTGGGCAACTGCGGGAGAGGAGGCAGGGTCGGGATTACTAGTATTAGTAGATTGATAGATACTTCCCAAGCGAAAGTGACTCGCAATCAGGACGGCGGGTTTCCGGAAGTGGCACAAAAAAAAAGTTTCTATTAAGCAGCTCTGTCAGGGCAATTGGCTCGCGATAATCCGCGGGCCGATGCCGGATGGGAGTTACACAGCGATTTCCCGCTCCGCTGTTGCGACGTGCGAGTTGAACTATATTCTGACCACAGTAGTTGGCCTTTCCCTCCGGTCGCAGTGAGAAATCTTAACAAAGTAATGTTGTTGCTGATCTGTGTGTTCTCTACTCTTCTCTTCCCTCCTGTACTGTTATTTTTTTTTTTGTTTTCGCTTTTTGCTCCTTAAACTTGTCCATCAACCAATGCTGCCACGTTCACCCCAGGTTTTGCCACCAGGCAACTCGGACCACATTCAGCTTTTGTTTACTTTCCGAGGTCATGAGGATATTCCAGAAGCTCTAAGGAACCACTAGTGCTATCGAGTTGGCGCTAAGGGGAATTAGCGGCAGGATAGCGTTTGCCCCTCGACGAGCAGAGATTGCGGATGCGAAAGTCTGGACCAAAGATGCAGTCAGATGACAAAGGAAACGACCAGAGTCAAAATTTGTTATCAGCTCAAAACTCCCAGTGTCCATAGGGGTGGTGTGAGGACATCATACAACACGCTGAATTGTCCGTAAGGGTTAGACGTGTCACGGACTGAATCGATCCATTCTTGAAAGATTGGAGAAATAACCCCGGATTTTTGGGACGGAACAGTTGCCTCTGAGAACTTAATAAAAGATATTAATAAATCACAATAAAAGAAAAAAGAAAAAAGGTTGAAAGCTAGTTGATTCGCCCCTTTCTTTGGCCAATGATCAAGCTTACTTCTGTTCTAAAGTTGTTATCAAACCCATGGAATGCTTGGGCGGTGAGAAAGAGGCTTTTTGATTGAAGGATGACAATTGACAGTGAAATGGGATTGGAATTGCAAGAAGAGATCAACCAGAACAATAGTGATAGACCCGCTTTCACACGCTACACAGTACTTTTTCTTGCATTCAAAAGAGATGACCTGGCATGGAGATGGCGGTCAAGACGATCATCGCTAAGAGAATTCTCTTTCATCAATGGATTGCCCCATCCCAAACTCCACTGTGGATCCCCGGATCCCATTTATTCTGGAATTTCCAGCCATGGAACATTTTTTTAATTGTCCACCTCCCCTCTGATCCATTACGTCTAGTTACTCTCTTATACAATCTTCCCAATCTCTTGAACGCCGACTTCACTCCTTGACTCTTGAACACATACCATGGCGTACGATTGTTACTGTGCCCTATGTGGCGTGGGATTCAGCGGCATGCATATTGAATCTCCGTCGGAAACCGCCCAGGAACGCCGGAGGCGCTGGATTGAAAAGCGAAGCCGGGCGCTCGAGGCCGGACAGGACCTTCATGAGGTCCCCGTGGAGGAAAGTGATGCCCCCGTGCGCAGCTACGATCCTCGTCTAGTCAGCTCCGATAATATTTCCTGGCTCTACCAAGCATTTTGCTTGGGATCAACACCACGGCCCCGTCGCTCGGGAACGGCCAAGTATGTGCAGCTCATGTTCGCCACACAGAACAATTCCCGTTGACAGGATTTCAGAGCGTTTATTGCCGGTCCCGGATACTATGCGGATATTGTACGTGACCTTTACCCTGCTGTTCAGCTCCGTTGATAGCAACTAACATGTGTTTTGTAGGGGGAGCTAGTGATTAAACCCGGAACCGGTAGGTCTTGGCCGATCCGACGGCTGAGAACGGTGAGATTGACTTGATTTCCAGAAACCTACCAACCAAAACGTCGGACAACCTACATGTGGTTCGCGGAGACCCTACCATTCCTGTTCGATGTCCTGAAACTCCTAACATTCCTTTAGTTATGATGAGGGCACCGAAGAGGCATCCGGCCCCGTCCTTCCATTCCACTGGTCCTGTTTCGAAATCTTAACTCGCGTCCTTACCGGCTCCACCGACACCGAAACCGTCGATCTTAATGTCCTCTACCATGCCCTGTCTCCCATAACCAATCACTCTTCTTTACAATTAAACTACGGCGGTGATGTCTCCCGGGCCCAAGGCCGGTACTGGGAGTGCATCCCGGGCGCAGAGGTGAGCGAGTCTTCCTAGAGATTAAACTGGCATCTTATTCACCAATCGTGTCTGATCTAGTACTGCGCCAAACATCCCATCGAGACCCCCCTGATTGACGAGCTCATGCAAAACCTCACCACCGACAGCAAGTTCACGTCGTCCGCGACCGAAATTCACCTCGGCGACCGACGGCCTACCGACCCCTTCGGTCAATTGCCTCTCGAAATCGCACAGCACATCTGCATGTTCTTGCCGGGAGACTCGCTCAAAGCGCTGGCGCAGGCATCGCTCAGCGTCCAGGTCATCACGCAGGATAACTCGTTCTGGAAACGGTTCCTGCAGTGGGACATGCCCTGGTTCTGGGAATTGCCGGCCGTGCAAGAGCAGAAGGATGTCAATTATAAATCGCTCTATTTGTGGCTGAATCAAATGACAGCACCCAGATACGGGATGGATGACCTGGCCCTGATGGGCGTGGCCAATCGTCGCCGCATCTGGGGCGCTTGTGAACAACTTGTGAGCCGGTACTCCAAGGGACTGGAAAAGGCGCCCGTCGAGGCGATGAAGTGGGGGAGGGATTAGAATCCGATTCCATGACGAGGTATGTTGCTTGGCCGAGCGATTTTTTCGACTGCCGCTCACAAGAGTCTACAGGAATCCGCGAATGTTTATGATACCACTGTCCGTATATATCCATGGCTTGCGTGCTTTTTTCTTTTTCGGCTTATAGAGGCGTTTGGAGGTCGCACTCAAATCTCCCAACAAAACATATAGATTTAGACTTTCATGAATCACGGCTTAATGATATTATCATGCCATTTATCGCACTATGTTGAAGTTGTCATATCAATGGTCCCGTAGACTTTCTGCGGTCGCATCCTCGGCAGAATACCTCGGCTTGTTTCAATCCCGGGAATTCCTCGGGAGTTCCTCGGAATCACCGAATTTAGATGCTTTTGACACTTTTGCCACCGTGGGCAAACTGTATGATCACAAGAGGATTGATGAAGAATTGAATGACAGTTCCTCGTCTTTTTTCTCTCTCCTGCTCGTTTTTTTAAAAGCGTATAGACATGCGGAAATTGTATACCACAGATTACAGTCCCTGGTAGTCAAGCATGCAAAGCGCAAATAATTCTAGACAACTCAGCTTCCGCCAGACCCTAGAAATATAGGACTCCAATCAGCTGGCGATGATTTCGACCATATGGTCGTATTATGTAATTATTTGAATAATATCGCATAGACAGCTTTCAAGACATCAACTAACTAGATCAATCAAAGTTACAAACGACTCTTCTTCAGCGCCCCGTAAACAATCATCTCCAATCCAGCCCACAAGTTCATCACTGGCCTATCCCCCATGGGCAAGATTTGTGTGCTGACCATCCCAGCAACACCGGCCTTGCGATCGCACCACCAGAACAGATTCGGGAGTCCGCACCACCATAGACTTGTATACGATCGCCCGGTCGCAGTAGGGGTCACCATACCTCCCAGCGAGAAACCCTGCGCTGGGTCTCCTCGCACCGGGTATCAATCATTGATGCGATGAGTAAGGTCGGGTTTGGCATCTGCTAGGCCTTGACGGCCGAAGTTGGGGAATTGTGGGATTTGGTGAGTGAACAGCTCGTCTACGGTTTTCCTCTGGAGGATTCGATTGTTAGTATGCGGGGATACTCCGTTGTTGAGGAGGGTGGAGAGGATTTCTGGGTATGTTAGTGATCTATAGAGTGGGTCTGGTCGTGGAGAGGTAGATACTGACTGCAGTATTCGCCTGATTTGGCGAATAGTCCGCCTCCGCCGCTGTTGAAGCATGCTTGAATCTCCTCTGGAGTCTCCGCCTGTAGACCCCGACGACAGATATGATCACGCAGTGACAGTTTTCCGTTTGAATCCCGACTGTTCATGTAGGCTAGTCGCTGCTTCATGGACTCGTTGGGGGTGAATGGTATGTCGGTGATCCCGAGCGGCTCGAAAATGTGCTCTTGGAAATAGGAGCCCAGTGACTGGTTGGTAATGCGCTCAACCAGGATACCGGGCCAGTCAAGATTGATCTATGCATGGTTGAGCTATGCTTTGCTAGGATGAAAGGATATCACTCACCCCATACGTCCACCGTTTGCCGGGGTGAGCC